CCAAGCCCCAGTGAGGGCATGGTGTGTGCTTGGCCGGTGGGACCTGGGAGCCCACCTGGTCCTGAGCGACTGACAAATGAGGTCTCATTAGGTTTAGGACTCAGCAGTAGGGCCTCTCTTGTCTGTGTGCTCCACATGAGTTTTGAGGGTCTGTTAACCCTAAAGACCCAAGTTGTTGTGGGACCATGGCATGGTCATGTCTGAAAATGATTTCAAGTGAATTGGAACACTTGTGAATTTTCTTCTGTATCCGTGATTCTCAAACTTGGGTGGGCTTGTTAGAACACAGATTGCTGCCCCCCCCACCCCCCCACCCCCGGTTGCTGATTCTGTAGGACTGGGTAGGGATTTATTCCGGGAAGCACACTTTGAGTACCCTTATTTCTTGCCCATTTGTATCTCCCTCCATGTATAATTTAGAGCAGCACTCTAACACCAGAATGCAAGTTTCTCAAGGTAAGCATTGGCGATCCAGTGGAAACAATGATGTGAGCTACATATATAAGATTAACATTTCTAGTAGCCACAATAAAAAAAAAACACTAAACAAACAGCTGAAATTAATTTTTAAAAGATTTTTATTTATTTATTTGAGAGAGTGCAGAGAGAGAGAGAGAGCATGAGCGAGGGGGAGGGGCAGAGGGAGAAGAAGCAGCAGGCTCCCCACTGAGCAGGGACCCAATGTGGGGCTTGATCCCAGGAGCATGGGATCATGACCTGAGCTAAAGGCAGATGCTTAACCAACTGAGCCATGAAATTGATTTAAAGATTGTATTTTAACTTAATGTACCCCAAACACCATTTTGAACATGTAATGAATATAAAAAATCCTGGGTGGGATATTTTTATACTGTTCCTTCTTGCTAAGTCTGACTTCCAGTGTGTGTCCTGCACTTGTAGCACATCTCCAGTCAGACCAGCCACATTTCAAAAGCTCAGTGGCCACAGGAGACTGGTGATTACTGTACTGGATAGTGCAACTCTAGATTTTCTCTCCTGGGACTGCTCCCTCTTCCCTTTCTTAAAATGTGTTGTTTTTAGGCACCTGTGGGGAATTCTTTTTTTTTTTTTCCTGTGGGGAATTTTGGATGTATTTCCTCAGTGACTTCCCTGATAGAGAGCACTTACCCTGGGTCACGAACTCTGGACTGTAATTCTTTTTTTTTAAATATTTTATTTAAATTCAGTTTGCCAACAGGTAGTATAACACCCAGTGCTCATTGCATCAAGTGCCCTCTTAGTGCCCATCACCCAGTCTGGACTGTAATTCTTGACTATGTTTGCTTATGTGTAACTCATCAGTAACTGTTCTCATGTGAAGATGGGAAGAGACTAGGACTTGGGATTGGAATAAGGGAGGGTTGACATCAGTCTTACTGGGTAGAGGGTATTGTCTTCTCCAAGCTCTTCCTCAGAAGAATTAGAAAAGACCAGACTAAGGAGTCAATGACAGATGAGTTGGTTTATGGATGAAAAGTCTTTAAAAAAAAAAAAAAGCAGTGATTTTAGAAAAGAAGTGAAATACTGGGCTGAAGAAGATGAAATAAAAACGATAAGACCAAATATATGAAAGGTGGAGAGACATATAAATGACATATAATCTCAGTGTATATACATGTGTTTATGGGCTATTTAAGCATAGCTTGCTTTTCATGCTTACTTGATTGCTGCCATAAGGAATTATATTGCTCTAATTCACGTATTGTCATTGCCTGATGATAAAAGAAAATAAAATGAGAACATTGACTTTCATGTGTCCTTTTTTCTCTTTTAACATGGTAACAGAGATGCAAGTCAAAAAAAGTCTGTTAAGAGGATATGCATAGGAACTTGGGAATTTTTAAAATTAATTAGTGCCAAACCCCAAGCACTGTAAATTAGCACTTTAAATGCACTCCTAAAGAAAGTGGTTTTAAAGCTGAACTTGGAGTGAATAACCTGATTCTTGAGTCAGTGAAGGTTGGAGTCAGTGCCTTAGACCAAGTAGAGTGCATGCCTGGTTCAGAGAACAGTAGCTATTCAACTCTGCTACTTTCAGAAGACCAAAATTTCTCCCTGAAGCATGGGTCTCTGTTTCTCTCTCTCTCTCTCTCTCTCTCTCTCTCATATTGGTTAAAAACAAATAGCCATGTTTAAGTAGAGTGGCATTAAAAATTGACAAAATCATCTCTACTGATCCGTGTGATAGTGATAGTCTCTATATTGCCCTGACATTTGAATTTCGTTGCAGACTTTTATCCTGAAATATTATTCTGCTCATTTCTCACTACCTCTCTTTTCAGTGGGAGATAATGCAGGACGGGCTTGAAACCATTTGAAGTGACTAAAGGTTTTGAGGGGTGGTTACTTCAGAAAAATTGGCATTTCAGAAAGATGTGTTCTTCCCTCGATCTCTGTTGATGTTTGAAGTCTTCAAAGTGTTGCTATGATCAGAGAAAAACATCTCTTGTGAAATAGTTGTCTCCAAGAATGCAGTGATTTGAGACTGGCTGGCTGTGGATTCAGATCGTCTGTTCTAGAAGAAGCAGTTTTCACAGAATTTGCTTCAGGCTGAGGTCTGGGGCTTGAAAGATTTACTGTCAGTTCAGAATATGTAAATATAAAATTAACCTGGCTTTAAAATAAGCTTCAAAGTCATTCCAAAATGTAGTATTTCTTAAGTTCTGCTTAGGCAGTACACTTTATAGTCCGCATTGCTCAGCAGTGACCCCATGCACGGTTTGTAGATTCTTCTTGCTGCCATTACGTGTGATTACATGTAAAATGGGTGCGAGGAGGGAGGACTGTCTGTTTTCTCAGTCAGTTGGTTTATTGTTTCCAGTCTACTTTTTGTGTAGAAAATTGTAGCTAAATATTTATCTCAAGGTGCTGAAGGTTTGACTTCAAAAGAAGTGCTAGTACCTACTGAACACTTCTGTGTGCTGCAAGGACACTGAATGATTCTCATTAATTATCTCACTTCTTAAACTGTCCTTGCAAATATGGTTACTATCATCTCTTTTACACATGTGAAAACTGAGGCTTAAGGAGGTGACATAATCTGGCCATTTGGGTCTTAAGTGTCTGAGGCTGAACACTTTTGATGAAGAGCCCAGCTGCCTTCACCTTCATAAGTCTCCTGTTTGAAAAAGCCTGACTAGGTTCCTTTCTACTTCAGACTTAGAGAAAAAGTCAGTAAAAATACATTCAACAAATAATGACAGGGGATTCTCTTGCAGCCTTGGCTATAGAAATTTTTCAGGTGCAACAAACGATAGGTGATGCCCATATTTCCAACCTAAGATCCCAAGAAGGTCTAGGGAGAAACCACTGTGTTGCTTAAACACCTAATTGCTTGTGTCACTGGCACTTGCGTACAAGTACAGAACGTAGGTATTATAAAAAAGCAAACAAACAGGACAGCGCCAGGTTAGGGTCAGTCTTACCCTATTTAGGGAAAACATGTGGAGACACAAGAAAATAAGGCCTTAGATATTAGATTTCTAACTTGTGTGCTGATCTAACAAGTGACTTCCTTTCCCCTCAGCTTGGTTTCCCCACATATATATGAGTGGTTGGAATATTAGAATCCTGTGTGATTCAGTTCTTTTGTGATCCAGGAACCCCTTCTTAGGAAATGCACATGTAAAATTTTGCATATCATTTGGGGGTTTCATGAGCCCCTAAAGTCTCTAGGGGTTTCTAGACTTTGATTAGAACCCCCTGAATTGATTTGCATTTCATTTTAGTTCATGAACAGCAAAATTCTGTGGCTGTGCTGTATGAAGCACTCTTGTAGTTAAAACCCTATGATAGGGGCACCTGCGTGGCTCAGTGGCTGAGCGTCTGCCTTTGGCTCAGGTCGTGATCCCAAGGTCCTGGGATGGAGTCCCGCATCGGGCTCCCCACAGGGAGCCTGCTTCTTCCTCTGCCTGTGTCGCGGCCTCTCTCTCTGTCTCTCTGTGTTCTCATGAATGAACAAATAAATAAAATCCTTAAAAAAAAACCCTATGATACACACTTGGTGGATTTTTGGTGGATTGGTGCTGTTTAAAGCACGTTTGTTCCACATTCTGGGGTATATGGAGGCGACAGGCTATACTGAGTTGATTAGAATTTCTGAAGTGGCAGCAGTGAAGCTGGGAGAAGAGTGGACTTGGCCTGTCAGACCTCGCTAATGTGGAAACTTTCTTAAATCTTTCAGTTTCTTCTTTTGTGAAAGGAGTGAAGACTGTCATATGACTATGTGGCATTTAAGCAAAATGCCAGACAATGAGTCCTGTAGATAAACTGATGAATGGGAATGAGCGTGGAGAATGTTCATCATGTTTGCTTGTTGCTCAACTACAGCTTGGAGGATCGTAGAGGCTTATGGGTTCTTAGGAGGCACGGACCTGGCAAGTCAGAGAAACTGACCCTTGGGACTCTGGGAATCTTTTTCACGTGTAATGAGAATCCATGGGATCTAGGGAGGCCACCTGAGAAAGGGAAATGAACTTGAAAATTGATACTGCTAAGGGAGGAAGTTGCGCTTAACATTTTTGGAAAGTCAGAAGTATTCATTGGACCTGTGCTCTCCAAACGTCTAGAGGAGCAGCGGAGAGGGTCTTGTGATGAAAGACACCTCCATCTGATAAATCTGACATCTAATCAGTGTTACCATACAGTTAGACTAGAATTCATCTGTTCACTTCTTCTATGTTACAGACAGGCATAAAAACTTTTGGAGGGAGATGTATTTCATTTTTGCATGAGCCACATCCAGCAGGTTTCTGTGGCTGTTTGGGTTTTCTGGAGATCTTGGTATTTCTACTTCTGCTGTCTCCATTTCTTGAGCAGCAGTTCTGTCCAGTGTCTTGGGTTTGGAAGAATTAAGTCTGTTTTACTCTTCTTGAAGATTAATTTCAATTTTCTTTTTACAAATTGTTATAATTCATGCATATTTTAAGCCACTTATGAAACTCCAGTCTTGTTCATGTCCAGTAAATAATGACTCTGTTTTGTTCTGTTCTTCTTTTCAGATCGAAGAGTTTCGAAGGCTGAGGACACATGTTAAGGGGGCAGAACTTGTGGAAGGCTGTGATGGGATTTTGGGAGACAATTTTAGACCTACTCAGCCACTTAGTGACAGAGTCATTAGAGCTGCCTTTCAGTAGTCAAAGAGAACAGGAACAAGACTGTCTTCATCTGGGTATGTGCAGATTATGTAAGGAAATGGGGCTCACAATTACGTATACCTGTCATGCCAGAGTTATTCTCACGGTGATCCTGATAATTTAGCAGTATGAATGTACTTCATTTTGATAAAAATGATGACACATTCTCAAGCCCTGTTTAATTACCAGTCAGGTGGCTTTAAAAGTTTCATGCAGTGTTGATAAAGAACCTACAATCCTTACGTTTTCCTACCAGAGCAGCTTTTAATTCTCATTTTGCTTTAATACTGGCCTTTATATGGTAGGGAGCCCCAAGGCAGAGAGGCAGCCCCTCTTTATTCAAGGTAAAGAGGTAAAGTCTTTGTTAGTACTCACCCTTGAAATGGCAGCGGTCACCTCCTGATGATTGAGGAACATAAGGAACATAAAGAAAGCCACTGGAGCCTCAGAGCTGACCCCTGTCTAATGCAGATTCGATCTTCTTTATTAGGGTAGGTGAGGGTAGATCTGATATGCATTAAAATCCTTGTCCAACGGAAGTGTTTTTATTTGATCAAGAAGCACTTATTAGGTATGTGAGTATGGTACGTTTCTTTATTGACTGAAATATGATCTCTGCATTTTAATATATTGAATTCAATATATGTATACCTTCTCCCTAAAGAGCTAACAAAATAAAACACCACAGACATGGGAAAGATCAAATACGAATAAATGACTGGAAAATGAAATACTGGATTATTTCTTTACCTTGTGAATTGCCTAAGAGTGCATACAGGTCAGCACACATAGCTGGCCACCCACTGCTTTCCACAAGAGGAAAGCATCTGTTGGAAGTTACACAGGTATATAGGACAGAGCTTGGACTTGGTTTAATGGGTCTTGGTGAGTATGAGCTCACATACTGTATGAGTGGAACAGTATAGACTAGGAGTCACAGATGAATAGAAATCTCTGGCCTTGAGAGACTCACAGTCTCTTGAGCTAGACAGTTGACATGGGAATTTTAAAAGGTGACCATTTTGTCCATGTGTGCCCCAATCCATTTTTCTTGCCTCTCTATTATTACTATACCATATATACCCAGTACTCCATCCAAACTGTCTTTTTTTTGTATGAATGTGCTTTGCTCATACAGTCCTTCCCACCCCTTTTATTGCCTATTAAAATCTTTGCTACCCTGTAAGCCCAACTCAAATATAGTTCTCAGCATGAATTCTCTTCTTCTCCCTTAAATTGTACCTCTCTATTCACACTGTCTCTTCCATTTAACTATTTGTGTATTTCTTTCTGTGTTACGGTCAAGCTTTTAAAGGGTTGAAATCTGTAACTTTGAATCTGTCATGACACATCACACTTTGTGTCTTGAGTGTCTGTTGGTCAATTAGAAATTCTTCAGAGCTACATATAGTGTCTGTCAGCCAGCCACTGCTGGTCATTCCCTGACTCTCCATTTCTGAGCTAGCCAGTATGGTTCTTCCTCTTCGGATTTTGGAGATGTTGGGCAGCCTCGGTGGCTCAGCGGTTTAGCGCCACCTTCAGCCCTGGGTGCGATCCTGGGAGACCCGGGATCGAGTCCCATGTCAGCCTCCCTGCATGGAGCCTGCTTCTCCCTCTATCTGTGTCTCTGCCTCTCTCTCTCTCTCTCTCTCCTCTCTCTCTCTCTCTATGTCTCTCATGAATGAATAAATAAAATCTTAAAAAAAAAGATTTTGGAGATGGTGAGGGCCAGGCAAAGTTGCTTTGGTATGAATGAGAAGGGACTTTTAGTAATTCATATGTGGTAACGACAGAGAATCCAAGACTACTTTAAGCTAAGCCTTATAATGGAAGAACCAAATAATAAAATTATATTTGACCAAAAATCATTACTTGGTTGTGTGATTGGTTCGGGGTATCCAACGGTCAGAAGGACAGTTAAGGTCTCTGCTCTCAGAAAACGTAGAATCTAATGTGGGGAGCCTGACCATGGAAAAATAAATACTTCCAAAGCATTACAGCTACAACTTAGAATGCGAAGAACAAAAATATGCAGTGAATGAGATTTCAGCTAGAGGGAATGTCTTTTGCAAAGGTCCTGACGGGCTATGCCCTGTGGAGGAGGTAAGAATTTGATGCATTGAGGTCAATGGGAAGCTCCTGTGAGTGTGGGATGTAGTAATCAAAGAGCCCGGGCTCTTATCTTGGAGGCCCTGTGAGCCACATTAAGGCATCTTTATTTTGCCATTAGTGCATTGAGAGCCTATAAAGACTTCTGCTCTGGGGAGTGGCCTGATCTCATGTACGTTTTTAGTAGATCACAGTAGCTTTGGAGTGAACAGATTGGATTATAATGGGCCAGGAGCAGGAGTAGGGAGATATTTTAGAAGTCTGTTGGGTAGCCAAGATGAAAGACAGAGAAGCTCAGATGTCAGAATAGGAGTGGTGGAGATGGGGAAAAGTTAAAATATGTTAAATAGACATTGAAAGTGATATTTAGGGGTGCCTAGGTGGCTCAGTCAGTTAAGCATCTGCCTCAGGTTATGACCCAGGGTCCAGGGATTGAGCCCTGTGTTGGGCTCCCTGCTGAGCCCCCTCTGTAAGCTCCCCGCCTCAAGCTCCCCCGGCTTGTATTCTTTCTCTCTGTCAAATAAATAAAATCTTTTTTTTTTTAAAGAAAAAGTGATACCTAGTTGACAAATTGGATGATGGCAGAGAGGAATGGAAATCTCAGAGATAACCTCTGGGATTTGGGGCTTTAGAAACTGTGTGGATGAAGTGCCATCATTGAATGACAGCAGGAAAGTGGGAGGAGACTTTTGGAAAGTTAGAGTTGAGTTGGAGCTTGTTGAATGAGAGATGTCTGTCAATTAGTGGACCCATCGTGCAGCCAGCTGTAATTTCAAAAGTGGAGATCAGAAAGGAGGTCTGAACTGAATCTGGGAGTCATTGGCATGGAGATTATATATACATGTATCATGTTCTAATGCTGCATGGGACCATCTCATTAAGCATTCACAAAATTTAATGTGAGACTTTATAGGTAAGTTAATGGAAGCATGGAGAAGTTAGATCACTGGCCAAAATAATGCAGTCATAGAGCAGTAGAGCTGGAAATTGGACTCAGGCAGCCTGACTGGTAGAGCCCTTTTTCTTATCCACTGCCTGGCAGAGGCCAGAGAGCATCAGCATGCTGACGGTGAGGTTCGTGTGATACGGAGGCATGCGTGTTGGCAACAGGCTGAAGTTGAGTGGGAAGGGAGGATGGGAGGAACCCTGCGATGACAGCTGTTGATGAGCTGGGTGGTAGGAGAGCAGAAGGCTGCAGCAGTGAGGGGGATAGGGAATTGAGGGACACTTTTCTTTCTTTTTTTAATTTAAAGATTAAAAAAAAATTTATTCATGAGAGATAGAGAGGCAGAGACATAGGCAGAGGGAGAAGACAGAGGCAGAGACAGAGGGAGAGAAGGCAGAGACATCAGGCAAGGGAGCCTGATGTGGGACTCAATCCCAGGATCCCGAGCCAAAGACAGAAGCTCAACCACTGAGCCACCCAGGCATCCCAGGACACTTCTTTTTGAAAAAAACCCACTAGCACTTGTCTGTATGTTGGGGTAATGAGCCAGTAGAGATGGGAAGTGATGAAGGTGACATTTCTCAGAGGGATTAATCCTAGCAGTGAAGTCTCTAAAGACTTGGAAGGGGGCAATCTGAAACATCTTGCTGGGTCAGTTGGAACAGCATGCACCTCTTGATTGGGGATCTTGAGATGAGCCCCACATTGGGTGTAGAGATTACTAAAAAAGAAAGGCAACAAAATCCTGAGCAAATGTTAAGACTGCCTTTGTTATGTGAATGGTCACTTTCTGGGCTGTACTAGGAAGGGAAACAGAGGGTGGTTTATGGATTTAGTATTTCCATTACTTGCTTTTATTATTTCAGGAAGAATGGGGCTGCAGCTAGGAGAGGTGACAGGAGGAGACAAGGGGGAGAGGGTGGGCTTGCAGTAGCGACCCAGTAGACCCAGTAAGAGGGGCGGGCGGGGAGGTGCAGTGAGGTTTGGTGAATGTGAATTTATTAATTCCTCCAGTCTGGGTTTAGTGTACTCTGTGAATATCAGTAACTGTAAATGACACTTTTTATGAAGTCAGATTATTATCTTGAATTTTTTATCCATATCTAGTCCTAGACCAGAGCTGCCTTTCTCCAACTATCTAAATAACCATCACTCTTTTCTTTCTCTCCCACACATGCACACAGACTGAAATGTTGTGTTGGTGAGATGATATGTATTTCAGATGCCTCATATTCTTTGTATGATAGGAAGATAGTGTATAATTTTTCAAAGCTTTAATTTGATTATGATCTAGGTCTTTTAAAAGGAGGATGGATTTGTGTCCTTACCTTGGTGCCTGAGGTAACTTAAAAGGGGTCACTTTCCCCCAAATTTCCTAAGAACAATGCAGGAATTCTTTCAAAGGCAACTCCAGTTCTGACTTCATCCTTCTATGAATACATTTTTTGACCCTTTTATCTTGAAATGTGTAATACAAATCTAGTCATAGTTCTACATAAAAATTATATTGGGAAATCAGACTTATGGATGTGTGCTTTTTATTTGATATTTAATAATGCCCTAAGGCAGGTAATTCAAATTTTTATTAAAGTGAAATGATTTGACAGTCAGACTTTGAGTTTAATGCATGAATGTTTCATTTAAGCTCTTGGAACTGAAAAGGAAAAAAAAATTCTGGTGGTTCTCTAAAAAAATGTTTAAAATAATTCAGATTTATTTTAGCTATGTCTTACTAAAATAACTTTAGTTTTTGGACTTAAAATGACTTTTTTTCCCTTTTTTTGCATGACATGTCTAGACATCTGGAGGGCTTTGATAACCAAGACTTATTATTTCCATGAATAATCTGTGACTTTTTATATTACCATTTAAGCAGTGTGAAGTAAGGTTTTATACTTGTTTAAAGAACTAGGACATAACTCATCCAGGTGCTAGAAATTATTTAGTTTGGCAGCACTAGTTCAGATTTCTGGGAGCTAA